GTACCGGGGATTATCATTAGTCATCCAAGAAAATTTTCGGTACACCGTAAACTGAGTACAACTCGAAGAAAATTTCTTGCTGGTCCGTGCGTAGTTTTGACCCTATAAAAAAGGGCCAGGTTTTGCCGCTATGGCCAAGTTCCCAAAACTCCAAGTACACATGTCCTCTAGTCGCACCACCACCCGAACCACCACTACCGTCGGCTCGATTTCGGTCACCGGCGCCCATCCAACTTCGCCCCCGGCCCCAACTCGCCCTTCAACGCCGGATCCTTCTGACGAGGAACGGGAGCTCGAGCTCCAATTGCAACTCACCAGGGAGAAGAACCGGAAGAGGAAGGAGGAAAAAAGGAAGGCGGAGGAAGAAGCTAGACAGAAAGCAGAGGAGGAGAGGCAGAGGCAAGAGGTCGCCGAGCAGGCCGCCAATGCCAGAAGATTGGAGGAAGAGGCAGCGGAGAAGAGAAGGAGGATTGCGGCAGCCGCGGCAGCGCGAAACCGCCGGGGCCCTTCCCCAGGGGAAGCATCTACTTCCGCTCGTCGAGTGGAAGTAGAAGTTCCTCGGGTGGTTAGGAAAGCCAAGGGCAAACAGAGGATGGAGGTGAGTGATTTCTGCCATATCCTCACCGACTTACTAACTCTAAGTTTTTTAGGCTAGCGGCGGAGATCCGGACGATGGCGGAGATGATGACGATGAAGACGACGATGAGCGAGTTCCCTGCGAACGATGCAGGAACAAGAAGATCCCTTGCCAGATGCAGGCTGGCAAGAGGAGTTCAATTATTTGTAAACCCTGTCACGACGCTAAGGTCAGATGCTCGTACTCCGGGCGGCCTTCGACGGTGAAGCGAGAGGGGGGAGGACAACCGATCGGCGAGCGCCTGGCGATCTTGGAGAGCCAGATGGCTCAGCTGCTGGCAGACAACCGGCAGCTTCGAGAGGGCCAGTTGAAGGACAACACCTACAACCGCCATATCAACCGCAAGTTGGACTGGTTGATGACGGACGCCGCGAGAAGGAGGAAAACGCCACCGGAGATGCCGGAACCAGGACCTTCGCGGCTGCCGAAGAAGAGGAGAAGGGTCGTGGATAGTGAGGAGGAAGAAGAGGATAGGAGGATGGGAGAAGAAGAGGATGGAGAAGGAGAGGAGGAGGTAGAGGAAGAGGGAGAACCGGCGCCGAAGAAGGCCCGGTCGGAGAAAGGGAAGGAGAGAGCGGAGTAGAGTAACATCGGACATCGAACATCGGCCTTCGGCCATCTTCTTGTACTCTTCTTGTTGCCCTGCCTTCGTTATATAATTTTGTTTTTTGGACTTTGTATATATAAAAAAAAAATGTTAACTCGATTTTGAAATCGGAAAGCGAATGGGCCGCGAAGCGGCGTAAGAAGTAATTAGTTTTTGAAGTATAAGTAGCTTAAGTGTGATTGAAGAATAAGTAAAATAGTAACTAAAAAACAAAGTAAGCAATTTAAGAAAGAGAGGTAAACACTCAATTTGCTATCATCGTGTTTACCCTCTAAACACACGAAGTAAACTTCGGCGGAGCATGGCGAAAACGGGGAAAAGGAATAGGATGTTTTTGTGATCAAGGTCCAGGCTTGTGAGGGTATCGGGCGTGGAATGCCGGTACAAGTTCGTCAGCATGTAGTTCATCAGCAGCAACCCAAGAAAACTCATCGTCGGTACCTTCGTAACCGGCCCACCGAATGTAATAACGTAGAGGGCAACGTTTATACCTTCTGTCCAGCTTGGAGTCCAGGATTTCGGCAATGTTGTACTCCTCTTCACCATCAACTTCAATTGGAGGTGGAGGAGATTGAGTACGATTCGGAAATGGATTCGGTGTAACTGGCTCCAGCTGTGAGACGTGGAAAACCGGGTGAATTCAGCGAAGGTAGTCCGGGAGCTTGAGCTCGTAAGATAAGGTACCAGGTCGACTGATGACCTTGAAAGGACCAAGATATTTTTCAGAGAATTTTTCAGTAGGACGAGTGGAGCGAATATGCTTAGCAAGAACGAATACTTCGGAGCCGATCGGGAACTCCGGGTGCGAGATTCTTTTCCTGTCAGCTTGTTCCTTATAACGAGACTGAGCTAAAAGGATTTCCTCTCGAAGGAAGACGTGGAGTTCATCGAGATTGACGACGAAGTCTCTAGCTAGATCAGACTTCATATCGACCTCGGGCCGAACGGTGATATTTGGGTGGTATCCTTTGTTAGCGAAGAATGGAGTAATACCAGTGGAAGCATTGGGAGCGTTGTTATAGGCGAACTCGGCGATCGGAAGTAGAGGCGACCAGTCATCTTGTTGGTAGGAACAGTAGATCCTGATGTACTGCTCGAGAGTCTGATTGACACGCTCAGTTTGCCCATTGGCTTCCGGATGGTATCCAGAGGTATAGTGAAGTTCCATAGAGAGCGCTTTACCGAGAGCCCGGAAGAACGCCGAAACAAATTCGGAACCACGATCGGAAGTAACATGATTAGGAACACCATGCTTAGAGAAGACGTGAATAACAAAAAGCTCAGCTAATTGTTCGGAAGTAATGGTGTCGTGAGTTGGAATAAATATAGCTTGTTTGGAAGATCGATCCACAACGACTAGGATAGCTGTGTAACCATTCGACATTGGCAGTTGCTCAATGAAGTCCATGGAGATGGAATCCCATGGTCGGACCGGAACCGGCAGAGGTTTCAACAAGCCGTAAGGCCGGTGACGGCGGGGCTTATTGCGACCACAGATAGTGCAGGAGGTAACGTAGTCACGAACAAAGTCTCTGACCTTGGGCCAGGTGTATTGACGACGTACAGCTTCCAGAGTGCGGTTCTGGCCGAAATGGCCGGAGAGTGGATGATCATGAAAATAGCGAAGAACTTGAAGGCGAAGATCGCCGTGATTAGGGACATAAATACGGTCGTCAAGGCGTAGTAGCTTGTCGCTACCTAAGCTCCAACGTTCATTGGAAGGATCTTTTGCAAGTTCCAAACCAGCGACGGAGCTCGGATTGGCGGGAAGGGCGAGAATGATTGCTTGGTGTAGGGCTTCGATATCCATGATAATCGAGGCTCGTAAGACGGGGCCTTCCAGGAAGGTAGCTCGAAGAGACGCAGTGAGTTGTTTGTTAGTAAAGATAGGACGAAAGTTGTGAGGGTTCACTTGGGCGTAGCCGATATCCCCCTCTTTAGGGTAGACGTCCCAGCGTCTAGTTATCGAATCAGGTTTCTCGCCGAGTTTCCCCGGTCGGAAGCGAATGACCATATTAAATTGATGTAAAAATTCAGACCATCGGACCTGTCGGCGTGTAAGAACCTTGGTAGTAGAGAAATACTCAAGATTCTTGTGATCGGTGACGACGTCCACCGGATCACCCGAACCTTCCAGATAATGACGCCAAGCTTTAAAGGCCTCGAAGATGGCCAGTAGCTCTTTGTCGTGTGTATCGTAGTTGAGTTCCGCCGCATGAAGCGTTCTGGAAAGGAAGGCTAGAGGATGAATTTCACCGTCAGCATATTGGATGGAAAGAATAGCCGCAATGGCGTAATCGGAAGCGTCGGTCTCCACGATAAGTGGGCGATTCGGCTCCCAATGGGCCAGTATCGGCGCAGAAGTAAAAGCGATTTTGAGGTTTTCGAAGGCCTCTTGACAGCTGCTGTCCCAGATCCAGGGAGCGCCTTTTCGGGTAAGCCGAGTCATCGGCACAACGATATCGCTATAATTATAAATAAAACGACGATAGAAATTTGCGAAACCCAAGAAGGACTGAATGTCCTTAACCTTCCTCGGTGTGGGAGTGTGGCTTGCCTCGTTGGTAGCCACACACCTCTTATACCTTTTCAAACATACTTTATTAACAATATACTTCTATGCCCAATATACGCCTTTAAGAATATACTATAAAATACCTACTTTCACTTATACATCCTATTTCGGCCATCCCGGCGGTTGCTTGTACTTTTAAACTTACTTCACTTTGTATTGCATTCCAGACCATTACATAATTCCCTTCCTTCTTCTTCTTCAACCACCACCATCTCGTTCTCGTCCCTCTTCTCATTCCTCTCGTACTTCTCACTCTTCCCTTTCGACGCGATGTCAGCAGCGCTGCGCCACATTCAGCTTATCACGATCCGACGGTCGGGTTTTCGGTTTTGCTTCCTCTCCGTTCCAACAATATTTATTTATGGCAATTATTCGACGCGGTACTCTATCCAACGAGCTCGGGATTCAGGATCATTGGAGGGAGTGTTTGGGTAGGATCATTGGGTTGCAGTACGTTACTATACTTATGCTTTCACTTTCTTTTTTTTTCTCTCAACTTTGTTTGATCATTCCTCCCCCTCTCGCATCACGACGCCTACCAAATGCCAAGGCCGCCGAATTGCTTCCTCGGAGCACACCCGTACCAGGCATTGGGCTTGAGCCACCCAGTTGTCCTCGCTGATGGTCGTAGGCGAGCGGTACGGTCAACTAGTCTTGTGTGTAAACCCGGGTCGCATTCGGACGCGCTAGAAGCTTTGGGAAGCTAGTGTTACTTCACCTTCGACGGACTCTTTTCTTTATCAAATATATATGTTTCTGATTGGCATGTACGACGTCGGGCGACGCAAGAGAACGCGTGGCCGCCCGAGTCAAATATCAAGGTGTACTTACAAAACAGAATCTTATCCCCCTTTTTGGTAACTCCCAGTGTGTATCGTGAATTGTGAAATCGTTGTGTGAACGATTCGTGTCCAAGCTAAGTGTTTATTTTCTATTACTACTAACTACTCTCCTCTCTAAGCTATTCTCAAGACACTACAAGTCTACGAAGGCTGTTCTCCCCCAAACTGATACCTGGACCCGACTGATTCCTTCGCAGGTCCTCGCTTGGACCGATTAACCTTTCTTTAGTGGAGCCCACCGCGAGGGTTTCAGTTTTCCGAGGTCCTTTGGCTCATAAAGCTAAGTATCCTCTTCCCAATTGTAAACTTCTCACCACACTTTTATAGGCATTTTAAACAATGTCAACAACTACACCCGCCACTACTACAGCCGCTACAATGTATAACCTTCGGGTTCCTATGCCGATTCCCCGAACGGCCAACGCTCCATTCTTCAATGGGCGGTACATCGACGATTTCCTCAATCGGATTGTTCAACATGCGAATCAAGCTGGAGAAACCGACCTGGATAGTATGGTCAAGTATATCCTCGATTATTCTTCTGACAAAGTAAAGGATACCATTATTTACATGGACGAATTCGACGTGGACAAAGCCCAGACCCTCAAGTGGATAAATGCGAAAGCTGCTCTGTACAACCTCTATGGCTCGACAGACAAGCCGAAGGAGTATTCGGAGGAGGAACTTAAAGAATTCTGCAAGCAGAGCTCAGCTAAGTCTAATTTCGTCAAATTGTCTGAAGTCGAAAGCTACCTTCGTGATTTTGTAGCCATTGCTTCTTCGCTCAAGAAACGCGGACTTATCACTGAGAAGCGTTATGACTATTATTTTGTTTTAGGTCTTCCTCATTCGATGAAGGACTGGTTCTTGAGCTCGGCGCCTGAGCAAAAGCGCACTCGAGATGACCCCCCGAGTATTGCGGAATCTCTCAAGATCTTGAGGATGAGGTTTGACAAGCATTCCCTCATCTATGAAGAATGGAATATAGACAAGACAGACCAAGTTAAGTCCACTTTCGATGAGCTTGGAAATCGAGTTACTGTTGCTGTCCCTTCTCAGGTCAATGTCCTCAACGAGGCAGTCGGATACAAAGCCCCTGGTGCAATGCCTCCCAAGCAGGTTCCTGCTTCGCATATTGACGAGCTTGCGAAGAAGTTGGAAGCGCTTACGCTAGCTGTTAATACGATGCAGGAACGCGATGGAGGTAGTCGCAGGAACAGCCAAGGCAATATGACAAGGCGTTGTTTCATCTGTGGTAATCCTTGTGGCCAGGATGGTGTTCATCCTATTGGCCCAAGGTTCTGTCCTGAAACGAATAGTCTGATTACTGACCACCTTATTACGTTTGATGCGCAGAGATCTCGTTATATCCAGCTGGATGGAAGTGATCTTCCTCAAGTTCCAAAGGGATGGTCTGGAGGAGTAGCTGCCTACCTTCGACACCTCCGTACTTCAGTTGGTCCGGCGGCGCCATCTGGATCATCTGGCCGGGATGAGCCTCCGCATATGCGTTCTACTCACTCGGTTGGATTGATGTATGATGATTCAGAAGTGTTATCCGGTAACGGATTCAGTCTTGATTCCTTTCCTTATGAGTATATTTCTAACCCCTCTACACGTTCTGGACTGGACACCTCGAAACGTCTTGATCCTAGGACACAGGTTAATCGCCCGGAGCGCTACAAACGTTCCGATCAAACACCTGCCGAGTCTCCAAAAGTTGTTCCGCCTACTAATCCAGTTCCAGTCCCTCAGCCTCCAATGCAACAGCCTACTCAGCAGGTACGGTTTGCACCAAATCCGACTATTATGCCAGCACTGCCAAATCCGAATCCGAGGACAACCTTTCCTCCTCCGCAAAATCCTATAAATACGAACCAAGGATGGAAGGGATCACGACCAGGAGTTCCGCGTGGAGGTAACCGAGATGTAGAGATGCAGGAAGTGGACAAGAATAAATCTTCGAACAATCCCCAGTACCATTTCACTTCTAAAGTTCAAGATTTTGCTGACCCCCAGTCTATGATTTCTAGAATAGGTGACATGCGAGTTGAAGTACCGCTCTTCCAGTTGCTTGGGCTTAGTCCCCAACTCTCAAAGCTTATGTCAGAGAATACACGAACAAAGTGTGAATATGGTGTTCCCAAGGAGGGAAACACTAGAAAAGCTGAGTCTTCTCCTTATATTCCTCCTTATGATCCATACGAGGCGAGAGAACAAGAGCGTGCAGCTCTCTCTGCTGTTGAAGGTACTCGTGGTCCCGAGTCGTACGTGCGACGAGTTTTTGTGGACAAGGATGACGAGGTCCTCGAAGACTTTGTATTTCGGTGTTCAAGTGGGGTAGCGCAAATCCCTACAAACCGTTTCTTTGCTATGACTGTTGGAGACGTGCGAGTTTCTATTAACGGTTCTGAATTTGTAGCAATGATTGATTCCGGTTCGGAAATGAATGTTGCGGGGAAACATCTCCCTGAGGCTGCTAGTCTTCCTATGGATTTTGATGGGATGCGTTGGTCTCTCAAAGGCATCAATGGCGATTATGAGCGTCTTCGAGGATGTGCTGTGGATGCACCAATGGTAATCGGTGGTGTCACGAAGCGGCAGAGGCGGAGTGACTAACGGAGCGGGGAAAGCGGAGCGACTAAGCAGAACGGTGAGGCGGAGCGACTGGACAAGGCAACAAGGCGGAGCGACTAAGCAGAACGGCGGCAGGCTGGTCCCAGATAATGACAGAGATATATTGAGTATCGTAGTCATAGGTAATAATAAGTAAGCACATACCTGGTCCCAGATAATGACAGAGAGGTCAAGATAAGGGACCAGGCTGTGGAGGGTTGGCTATATATACATAATCCGGTCTGCGAGAAACAACGATGTAATACTGTACAGTTTAGGAACAAGGAAGGTGGCGGAAGCCAATAGAAGGAGAAGATGGGTCAGGTGGATCAGTAATCGATGGATCAGTAATCGATGGGGGTTTGACAGTGATGGGATGATGTATCGTACAAGTAAAGGCGTCGAGACGGTGAGAAAAGGAAAATGATAGGGGCTGCGTACTTTATGACATTACCCCCCTCCTTATGACCATTGCCCTCGATGGTCAAGGCTTTGCCGCTGTTGGGTGTTTTTTATGAAAGGCCCGAACAATTTTTGGTGCTCGACTGAGGTTGGCTGCGGGTTCCCAAGAGTTGTGCCCTGTGTCGTAACCTTTCCACTTAACCAAATATTCCAACTTCTTCCATCGAACCCGGCTGTCTAAGATCTCCTCTACTTCGTATTCCGGTTCGTCTTCATCCTCTAAGTATACCGGCTCTGGTGGTGTTGGTATTTCGCCATTAATGGAGTTACCTTTCCAGGGGTATAGTTTATCGACATGGAAGACGGGATGGAGGCGATCTAGGGATAGGGGAAGGTCAAGGCGGTAGTCTAAAGGGCCAATTTTCTCCAGAATGCGATAAGGGCCAAGCTGTCGATCTCCTAACTTTTCACTGGAAAGTTGAAGGTTAATGTCCTCTGCACTGAGCCAGACTAGGTCTCCAACTTTAAATTGATGAGCTTTCCGCTTCCCGCGTTCGTATCCCTCCTTCTGTTGTTTCTTTCCTAGGTGTAAGGCAGCTCCGGCATCTTGTCGCGCTTCTCGGAGAATCCGTATACGGTCATCCACAGCTGGAATACCGCTGCGTTGGCCCACTGGGATATTGAACAGGGGAAGATAGCCGTAGGTTAGCTCGAACGGGGACATGCCTAGCGCAGAATGAGTCCGTGAGTTAATCACAAACTCCGCCATGGGAAGGTGCTCTGCCCAGTCGTCTTGTCGTCGTCCTACATAGAGGCGGATGTATTTCTCTACTTCCTGATTTGCTCGTTCGGTTTGGCCATTAGACTGAGGACGGTATCCGGAGGTTAGATCTGATTTAATTCCTAGCCTAGCGAGAAGGGATCGCATGAGCTTAGCTGCAAACTGGGGTCCACGGTCGGATTTAAAGTGAAGAGGAAGACCATGGAGACGGAAGATCTCTCGGTAGTAAATATCGGCAACGCCTTCGGCTGTGATGGAGCTGGTGCAAGGAATGGCGTGAATTTGTTTTCCATACAGGTCTGTGCAAACCAAGACAGCATCGTAGCCTTGGGAGTTAGGTAGCTGTGTTATCAGGTCAACCCCTACCTCTTCCCATAGACCGGATGGTACATCTAATGGTTGAGTTACGGCCCGTGGGTGTCGCTGGATCTTCTTACGGGCACAAACCTCGCATCCCTCAACGTATTTTTCCACAAAAGAGCGCAACGTAGGCCACCAGAAATGGGTACTGACCAAGTCGAGTGTCCCGTGTAGTCCGGGGTGTCCTGCAGTTGGATGGTCGTGGCATTGACGGAGTACCTCAGTGCGTAGGTCGTCATTTGCTGGTACGTATACTCGACCTCGGTAGTAGACCAACCCATTGTCTTCTTCCCATTCGGCTATCCCATTGGCCAAGCGCTGTAGTCCGTGCTCTTTGACTGTTTTGAGACCCTCCAATACCTGTGCCTCCCGTTCTGAGGCTTTCCGGATACGATCCTCTAAGGGGTTCTGTAGGATCGAAGCTGCAATTTTTACGAAGTGGCCAGGTTTAAGGACTGTCTGTTGTCGGTTATCATCGCTGTCCGATACATGATGAACTGCCATGCGGGAGAGAGCATCAGCTTGGGTGTTTACTCTACCAGGGCGGTGGATCATATGAAAGTCAAACCGTGACAGATAGAGGGCCCATCGGGCTTGTCGGCGGGTGAGGTCTTGTGCAGTGCGCCAGAATTCGAGGTTCGAATGGTCCGTAATGATGTCGAATGGTTGAGGGAGTCCTTCTAGAAAGTTCCTCCAATCCTTCAGTGCTTCAATGATAGCAAGCATTTCTCGATCGTAGATTTCGTAGTTCCGTTCCGCTGGCTGCATGGATGCCGATCTGAAGGCTACCGGATGCCATTGGCCATCGTCTTGCTTCTGCATAAGGGCGCCTCCCGTGGCAAAGCCTGATGCGTCTACCTCGATTCGAGTAGGCCTGTCTGGTGTCCATAGGGCAAGGATCGGTGCGGAGATGAAGGCTTCTCGAAGGGTATCAAATGCTTTCTGTCGAGTGTCGGTCCAGGTAAAGCTGGTGTCTTTCTTCGTCAGGTCATTCAGAGGTCGTGCTATTTTGGCAAAATTCCGGATAAAGCGTCGGTAGAAGTTTGCAAATCCCAAGAACCCTCGTAGTTCCCGAAGATTAGTAGGGACTGGCCAGTCGCGAACAGCCGCTACTTTTACCGGATCCATTCTCACCTCCCCTTCTGAGATGATGAGTCCGAGGTATTCAATCTGTTGTTGTTCAAATTCACATTTTTCTGGTCGTAGGTAGAGGTCGTGCTTTTCTAACCGGGTTAATACTTCCCGTACCATTCGTCGGTGTTCCTCGAGATCGTTACTGAAGATAAGGATGTCATCTAGGTAGACTGCCACCTTGCCGGCTGCAATGAGATCAGCAAATATAGCATTCATAAGTGCTTGGAACGTGGCCGGGGAATTTGTGAGACCAAAGAACATGACCTTAGGCTCGAACAAGCCTCGGGTTGTTGCGAACGCGCCTTTCCATTCATGCCCCTTCTTAATCCGTATGTTATTGTAACCCCAGCGGACATCAAACTTCGTGAAGTATCTGGCTCCCTGAAGTCGACTAATGATGTCAGCAACTAATGGGAGAGGGTATCGGTTCTTCACAGTGTACTCGTTCAGTTTCCGGTAGTCTTGTACAAAACGGAGTTTCCCATCCTTCTTCTTTACGAAGAAGACCGGTGATGAAATTGGTGATTTTGAGGGGACGATATAGCCTTTCCGTAGGTTTTCTTCTAGGAAACGATCCAACTCCTCCTGCTCGTTTAGGGACATGGGATAAATCTTGGTACGCATGGTTGCCGGTGCTCCAGGTACGAGATCAATCGCATGGTCCCAAGGTTGGTGGGCAGGTAATCGTTCGGAGGCGGATTCTGAGAAAACCTTCTTGAAATCACGATACTGCTCAGGGACCATTTCTTCGAAGGTTTTAACGGGTTTGTCTCGGTTGGCTTCCTCTGCTAGCTGCTGGGAGTAAGTGAATCCTGCGGCGCACCAGACTTCCTCCGTCTGTTCCTCTAGGATTCCTGCTTTTACCCATGCCCGGCGAGTTTTATGATTGGCTCGAATTCGGTGTATTGGTGGTTCTTCCACCGCTGCTGATTCACTCGGTTCAAGGGTCGCTTCTAGTGGCACCTCAATGTGGGGGTTTTCTGCGGGAGGTTCCAGTTCCGGGAGTTCGAGGATCGGGGTTTCTGTGTGAGTGGCGGCTAGATGAGAGTACAAGATCTCCTCGTCTGGGACTTCTTCTATCGTTACTCGAGGAGGCTTTACTGAAAGTCGTCCTTTCTCCCAATCAATCTCCGGATTTACCTTCCGTAGCCAGGGGAGTCCAAGGATGATGTCTTCACCTCCTAGGTTGGTGATCAGAAAGTCCATCCATCGCTCTTGATTATCCACTGTGAGTGCTAGACGTGCAAAATGGGTTATCCGTCCAGCTCGGTTAGGTGTTCCATCGATATTAAAAACGTCGATTGGTTTATGGAGGGGTGCACATCTTACATGGTTCCGGGTGACAAAGTCTTGGTTTAAAAACAGGGCGGTAGCTCCACAGTCTACCATGGCTGCAGTTGTTATACTGTGATTCCTTCCTCTTAGTCTCGCATGAATTCGGAAATGTGGGGAAGTAGAGTTTAATTCCCGGATCGACGATATTGTACATGATGGGTGCGAGTCATACGAGGAAGTAGCGAACATAACAAACTGATTACGGGGTACTCTCGGTGCAGCCGAAGCGGGTACCCTCTTTAAAAACCCTGTTGAAAGCCAGAGGACGAGGAGGACATAGCGTTAGCACGATCAAGTAATTCCCTTATTTGACCAATCTGATTGGAAAAGTCCTGGTTAGGGGGGCTCGGAGTAGCAGCTACGGGTGCAGAAGCAGATGTTGGGGTCGAGGACGCGATTTGGACGGATTCGTTTGGGAATAGGGAGAATGGCGCGGGTCCCGTAGCGGATATCTGTTGGCGTCGAGGTTGCTGGCGTCGGCCTCGGTCTCGTCCGAGTCCCATGAATTTGTCTTGGCAGACTGCTTCCAGATGTCCTCGACGTCCACAGTAGCGGCAGGTGGTTTCTCGGTGTGGGCAGTTTTGCTTGACATGACCCTGGGCACCGCAGCCGAAGCATCGTCCTCGCATGCGAGCTAGGAATGCTTCCCTAGTATTCCCATTCCTGGTGTGGGTTGCATCAATGTCCATAGCGTGGGGGTCAGCAGGGGTAGTATGAGCGGTATGCGTGGGAGGGTATCCAGAGTTCCGGCCAGTCATGGTGGGATCGTGCAGGTAGACATCCACCGATATGGCCCGTTTGATTGCCTCCTTCAGAGTCGGAGCAATTCCTTGGGCAATGTTTACGGTGATAAGGTGTTGTCGGATCTCTGGGAGTAATGCAGTGAAGAAACGTTCCCGCAAGTCAATATCAGACATTTCAGTCCGATCTCCGATATCCTTGAACTTCTGAGCGAATTCCGCAACTGTCTGTCCTTTACTTTGCCTGAGATTCTTGATCTCGCTACGGGCTTCCATACCTGGGTCCATTGGTTCAAACCGTTGGCTAAATTCCTTCAGAAACGCCTCCCAATTTCCTCCGAAAGGGGGATTTTCCGCATTGAAATGTAGCAGATGGGGAGTTGCCCAATCTCCGGCACTTTCTGTGAAGAAGCCCAAGGCGGACTTGATGAGTTTTACTTGGCTTTTGGCGAGATCCGGTTGTTCTGATGCCCAATTCTGGAACTGAGCCATGAAGCGACGGGCTTCAGCGCCATCTTTACCCTTGAAAACCTCGGGTTTGTTCATGCTTGACTTAGAGGATGAGCGTTCCTCCATAGCTGTAGCAAGGTTAGCTACTTGTCTGATGAGCTGAGCCATGAGATCCTCCGCAGAGGTGTTTGGGGCAGGCGGGATAGGAGTCGACATGATGGGAGTAGGCAATCGGGGCTGGGGAATCGGCAGGAAGGTTATATTGCTCACAGTGAGTGGCTCTCGGATTGAGTTCGAAAGGGCGTTGGGGCAAGGTTGAGACTGGCAATCGCGCCAAGTATCGTCGTTGTTATGGGCGTGAGCTTGGTCTCTGGGGTCAAGTGCGTGCGGGAGTGCGGAGCAGTCTATACTGGCAACAGGTGTTTCAGAGTCGGGCGGAACTGGGGAAGACGTGGTGTCTATAGACCCTGCAAGGACAACCTTATCGGTAGGCTGTCAGTGCAGTAATGGATCTTGACCTAATGTCACGAAGCGGCAGAGGCGGAGTGACTAACGGAGCGGGGAAAGCGGAGCGACTAAGCAGAACGGTGAGGCGGAGCGACTGGACAAGGCAACAAGGCGGAGCGACTAAGCAGAACGGCGGCAGGCTGGTCCCAGATAATGACAGAGATATATTGAGTATCGTAGTCATAGGTAATAATAAGTAAGCACATACCTGGTCCCAGATAATGACAGAGAGGTCAAGATAAGGGACCAGGCTGTGGAGGGTTGGCTATATATACATAATCCGGTCTGCGAGAAACAACGATGTAATACTGTACAGTTTAGGAACAAGGAAGGTGGCGGAAGCCAATAGAAGGAGAAGATGGGTCAGGTGGATCAGTAATCGATGGGGGTTTGACAGTGATGGGATGATGTATCGTACAAGTAAAGGCGTCGAGACGGTGAGAAAAGGAAAATGATAGGGGCTGCGTACTTTATGACAGGTGGTCACAAGTTCAACCATCATATCTTTATTTCTCGTCAGTCAATTGGGCGACATGACATTATTCTAGGACAGCCTTTCCTTCAAGAGTTCTCAGCCCGTCTGGATTATGAACGCGGTAACCATTGCAAACTTTTCTTATGGGCAGATGGGGATCGCAATACGCGTCCCACACTTATGATTTCTGTTACAGATCCCAATGACCCGCGCAATGCTTCAGCTATTCGCTTAGGTTCCGACGCCAAGCCGACATCTTCTTATATTGAGGAGACTTACGACTCAGATTCCGATTTGGGTTTTCAGTACTAGGGAGTGAAATAATGACCTTCCGCACTTCCTATCCTGTTTTAGGAAGGTCTTTCGAGGCGTTAATGGGTAACGCTGAGTACTCTGATTTCGATTCTCTTTTGGACATTAATCCTCCTCCTGATTATGATTCACTTATTTATGAGTATGCTTCTATTATGGGAATTTCCCCTGATACCATTTTACATTCACCATGGACTGATCGTGCGATTACTAATCTTTATTATAGAGACTCATATACAGCTGCCACAAAGAAGGCTCCCAAGCGTAAGTACAAGCCTGTGGACAGGAAAGTCCGGCCGGTTCCAACTTACTTTCCTGATCCTCGAGCACAGGAGTTCAAGGAAATACCGGCGGCAGTTCCATTGAAACTACCAGTGAGACCTGTGGACTATCATAACCTGGATTTTAGCGGCCGCGTTACACTTGAGCGTTTGGAGGACATGTTGCGGAAGATTCCATTGGGTACGTTGACAGAGGATGAAACTAATTTGATTGCGTTTATTGTAGTCAACCGTGGCAAAGCTTTCGCGTGGAATTGGGCTGAGAAAGGTTTCTTCTCCAGGGATTACTATCCTGATTATGAGATTCCGACTATCGAGCACATTCCATGGCAATCTCGACCTATTCCTATTCCTAAGGCTATTCTGGGTGATGTGATATCTGTGATTAAGGACAATGAAGAGGCTGGACGTTTCGAACCAACAACCTCAAGTTATCGTTCCTCACTCTTCGCTGTGGCTAAAAAGCCTGGATCTGACCCGCCAGTTCGTTTGGTCGTTGATATGCAACCTCTCAATGCGGTTACAATTCGGGATTCATCACTTGTTCCCAATCTCAATGAATTTGCTGAGTCCTTCCTTGGTCATTCTATGTATGGTCTCTTTGATCTTTATTCAGGTTTTGATGCATGTTACGTTGGCGAACGGTCACGTCCTCTTCAAGCATTCCATTCGCCGGATGGACCTAAGCAACAAACAACACTGGTTCAAGGCTTCACCAATAGTATGCAAGAATTCCAGCGACGCGTGAAGCATGGTATCCGACGCATCTCACCAGAGATAGCTGACAACTTTGCTGATGATTGTGGATTGAAAGGAGGGGAATCGCGGTATAATGACGAGCCGATTCCTAAAAATTCAAATATCAGGAGGTATATTTTCGAGTATGCTCAAAGACTTGATGTGTTCCTAGGTACTTTGATTCTCGTGGGTATCACTGCTTCTGGCAGGAAGGCTATATTGGCAGCAACCAAGCTCAGGATTGTTGGTTCGGTGGTTTCATTAGAGGGTTGGATTATCGAGCAGAGTGTCGTTCAGAAAGTTTTGGACTGGCCGATTCCCGAGGATTTGACAGATGTTCGAGGTTTCCTTGGTACAGCTGGCGGAGGTCGAAGATGGATCAAAGGTTTTGCACTTATAGCTAAGCCTCTGACTATGCTTTTGCGTATTACTGATGCACCATTCGAAATGTCAACTGAAGCTTTAGAGTCCTTCGAGTTGCTCAAGTACAAGATTACGCGGACGCCAGTACTTATAAAGGTTGACTATGAACAAGCTAAGTTAATTATGCCTTTGCCCCGAGTTTCTGATGAAGGCATGCTTGTTGTAGGAGTTGATTCCGCCTGGTTAGGTGCAGGTTGGGCAGTTTATCAAATCCGTGATCGTCAAAAGCGAATTTCCCTATATGGTTCTTGCACATTCAATGAACGTGAACAGAATTATGGGCAGCCAAAGACAGAAGTCTATGGGATATTTCGTGCATTCAAAGAGTTGCGCCACCGCATTTGGGGAGTACTTTTCCGTCTTGAACATGATGCTCAATCTGTCGCTCAAATGCTCAAAACTGTAGATGATGTGCCAAACGCGCCTGTGTTGCGCTGGATTTCCTGGATTCGACTTTTCGATTTTGAAATGAAGCATGTCCCAGCAACTGCTTTCAAATTAGAGGATGGTCTTTCACGTCGCAAACCTTCTCCAAATGATCAACCCTATGACGAGATCGATTCTGAGGAATTCTTGGATGCGTATAATGATTCAATTCATGCTTCGAATGCTGCGTTATCTGTTTCGCATGCACAATCTGCTAAGTTTCTTTTTGATCAACTTTACATTCATTACTCTAACCGCCGAGTACAGTCATGGAACGGCTTTCATCAATATGTTCCTCTTTTGTCCTCCTCTGTGCAAAACGAAGTTCTACCTGACTTTTCAAGCACTATACCTCCTGTTCCAGTTCATCCATCGGATGCCTATTCTCTCTTTGCTGCTACCGCTAGTCGGAGTTTGGACACCAACCCACCTTGTCGTTTGTCGGAGTTTTATTACCGATCCATGCCAGTTAAGTGTTCTTCTGAATTCTTGTTGGGTAATGAGCTAGTCACTCTCGAGTTTATAGCGCATGTTGGCAAGAATGCCACTCCTCCATTGCCAGTTGAGAAGTTAGCTGAGACTACTGATCACAAGAATGGTACAAAGGATTTGGAGGATGTGCCATATTGGAAAGAATTGCGCAGATTCTTCAAAACTGGTGAGTTTCCAGTTCATTTGACAACCGACAAGAGTAGGCTTCGTTTCAGAAAACGCTCGCAACGGTTTTTTCTTCAAGATGATCGACTCTGGTTAGCCCCAAAGCTGAAGTCAGATCGACTACCGCGTCTTGTCATTGAACTTCCAGAGAAACGCAAGTATCTCATGGCACGTGCTCATAACGAGTGTGGTCACCGTGGTCGAGATGCAACATATCGACATTTGGCAGATCGTTTTTATTGGCCAAACATGTACGACGAGGTCACTTACTTTGTGCGGTCATGTATTGAGTGCCAAAAATCTGTTAAGTCCAATCCTATTCTTCCGTATAATGAATCTTGGCAAGCGCCTCTGCTGCGTCATTTTAATTTAGATTCGATCAAGATGCCTACTGGTGTTGGTGGATGCGACTATATCATCCAAGCTATTGAACCGACGATTTTGTGGCCAGAGGCTCGTGCAGTCAAAGGAAACACTGCGGCGAATGTGGCAAAGTTCATTTACGAGGATATTATCTGTCGTTTTGGGTGCGTTCCTTACTTTACATTTGACGGTGGTCCAGAGTTCAAGAAGGAGGTTACTGACTTACTCGAGACACAATACCGATGTACTGTGATCTTTTCCACTCCTTATCATCCTCAAGGAAATGCTCCAGTAGAGCGTGCACATCAACCTCTGGTTGATTCTCTCTTCAAGTGCACTGGTGATGCAAAAGGGAACTGGCCTCGTTATATGCATGCTGTCTTATTCGCAATACGAGTGACGGTTTCACGTGCGACGGGTTTTTCACCATACTACCTTTTATACGGTACGCACCCAGTTTTTTCTTTCGATCTGACAGAGGTTACTTGGCAGACTCTGGATTGGCATATGGTTCGGACTCACGATGAGCTCATTGCGTTACGAGCTTTGCAACTTGTGCGCAAGGATTCCAAGCTCAAAGAGGCAAATGAAAAACTGCGAGAGAGTCGTCGTCGTGCCATTGAGGACATGGCTAAACGAGTTGGATTCCAGTGGGACTTCAAGGATTACGAGGTTGGTATGTATGTGTGGTTGCGCGAGTCCGCTATCGACGAAATCAAGGGTGGTAAAGGGATGTGGACATACTCTGGACCTTATATTATCCACGAGAAACGCGACCACAATGCTTTTGTACTTAAGGAACTCAGCGGTGCGATTCTCCCTGGTCATGTTAACATTCGTCGACTGCGCTTGTTCTATTACAGGCCGGACCACCAAACCTTGAAGGCAAAAATTCCTCAACCTCGACAATCAATCAGCACCATTGCTATGGACGTGACATCGTTCCGATTAGATGCAACATTGGAACGATCGAGGGAGTATTTCTGTTCCTATCCTGCGGAGCAGCGCCAAGATTACAGCTGAGTACCTCGTTTCATTATTATTTCTAATTCCCCTATCCATGTACTATATATTTCAGTTCCTATTTCGCTTTTCTTTCCCCTTCTCCACCTTGTTAATCACTATCTTTAACTTCCTAACTTCCTTGTTATGTGTCCCGGCAACTCTCACTCTCATTTATTTGCTTCATGCACTCCTAAATCTCCTGTTCCAGATCATTCTTTATCTCGCATTGGGACTCCCCTTCGACGTTCTAATTGCCCCGATGCTCAAGGTTTCCATGTCTGGACCGAATACCATCTTCAAGACATTCATTTCACTCCCTTCACACACTCCTCCACGTTGAATCTTGGAATTACCGATGCGCTTGTAGATGTCACTGGTCATGTATCCTCATTTCCGCGGGATCTCTGCTTGCGTTGGATGTTTCGGGATCCCGACAGTGGAGAGATCAAGGTTTTGTATGGCCGTGACACTGAGCTTAGATGGACCGAAATCTTGGCTGGTGCACGTTCAGGTGTGGTGCCTGCTCGTTACGTTCCCAAAGTTGCAGGCGATGGTTCGACACGCGGTCCCATGACACGTGAATGGTTCCTTGATATGGTTTCTCAGTTTTCGGTTTCGGCTACAGGTAAACTCTTACGGGACGGACTCGAGGTTTGCCAAATTTGGGAGGATTTTGAATGGTTAGCCACAGTTATGCTTCCTTCTCGAAAGGAAGTGGATCTTGCACTGTATACAGCCGAACGGTTGGTTTCTGAGGTTAGGAGCGAGCTCAAAGCCTGGCATTTAGACTCTTATCAGCGTGCGTCAGCTATTCTTAATCAATTCAACTCTGTCTCTCCTTCTCCCCTTGTCTCTACTTCCACTTTTCCCCTCCCAATCCCAGTTTTTGTTCCTCCCCCTGCTTATGTTCCGGTTTCTACACATTCATTATTCCCTGTCCACCTTTCGTCTTCGCCTTCGGTGCTTCCTGAGGATTCTATTATGGATTCCGAGGACGGAATCTAAAGTACCCCCCTCTGTGGGAGTGTGGCTTGCCTCGTTGGTAGCCACACACCTCTTATACCTTTTCAAACATACTTTATTAACAATATACTTCTATGCCCAATATACGCCTTTAAGAATATACTATAAAATACCTACTTTCACTTATACATCCTATTTCGGCCATCCCGGCGGTTGCTTGTACTTTTAAACTTACTTCACTTTGTATTGCATTCCAGACCATTACATAATTCCCTTCCTTCTTCTTCTTCAACCACCACCATCTCGTTCTCGTCCCTCTTCTCATTCCTCTCGTACTTCTCACTCTTCCCTTTCGACGCGATGTCAGCAGCGCTGCGCCACATTCAGCTTATCACGATCCGACGGTCGGGTTTTCGGTTTTGCTTCCTCTCCGTTCCAACAATATTTATTTATGGCAATTATTCGACGCGGTACTCTATCCAACGAGCTCGGGATTCAGGATCATTGGAGGGAGTGTTTGGGTAGGTGTTAAGATCATGTACACCGTGTAACCGTGCCAAGGCCACAGGGTGTCTAAGTGCGGAAGACGAATGGGACAGTAGTGAAGTTATTAACAACACCGCCGTTACGCCGTAAGTCCCCGGAGGTCGAGAGTATAGAAGAGAGGAGCTGAGTAGCAGCCAAGTCGGAGCGGCGATAACGCCGGTGACGAGGAGCGAACCAGAGAACGTATAAGTCCTAAGGTAGAGTAGAGAGAGCTTCAAGGCAGTAAGCCTGAAGACTTAGAGGAGCACAGAGTGAAAGAGGGAATCTAAGTCGATCTAAGTTGATAATTAAACTGAGGAACTACAGTAGCGTACAGACAGTATTTATATCTACGGAACGGCGCATCGGTGCGGAGCGCCAGACTAACTACTAGGAGCTATACGAGTAGTACCTGCAGGGTAGAGTAAAAGACAATAAGGAGAGACTAGAACGAAAGAGTAAAAGACAATAATGAGAGACTAGGACGAAAGGATATGTGTAGCGAGAAAGAACAATAGGGAGAGATTACAATAAGAGCAGATCTTCGGAGTACCGAGCGGCGGAATGGAGGCCCGCGGCATGGACTTGACAGTATCCCCCTCTTAGGCTTGAGCCCTCGAAAGCCATTAATACCGGTAGTTGGTTAGTCACCAAGGAAAAATTTTAAAGGCCGTTAGGATCGGGGATTTGGCCCATCAGTCAGCAGGAAAATTTCAAAAGCCGTTAGTACCGGGAAATGGCGTTAGTCATCAGTGAAAATTTTCGGTTCACCGTACACCAAGTACAATTCGAAGGAAAATTTTCGCTGGTCCGTGCGCAGTTTTGCCGTATAAAAGGCCCCGAGTTTCGCCGATAAGACCCAAGTTTCCAAAATCTTCTAAGTCAAAAGATGTCCGCTAGCCGCACCACCACTACCACCGTTACTGCTACTGCCGGCCCTTCGCGGTCGCGCCCCGTTCCACCGCCACCACCACCACCACCATCCGACTCCGCCGCTCAAGAGGAGGAGGACCTCGAGGACGAAGACGAGGACGATATTATCAGGAGGGCGCATGCACGAGTGGAGCGGGTGAGAGCGAGGAAGGCGGCGGAGGCCGCAAGGAAGAAAGCTGAGGAGGAGGCTGCAAGGGCGGCAGCGGAGAGAGAGAGGAAGGCGCAGGAGGCGCGAGAGCAGGCCCGCCGGGCGCAGCAACAGCAGGAGGAGGTGACTGAGAGGAGGAGGCTGTTGGCCGCAGCGGCGACAGCTAGGAGTCAACGGGGTACCTCTCCCAGTGAGGTGTCAGTCTCGCCGCGGAGACCCGTGGTTGAGATCACGAAAAAGAGTAAGGGAAAAGGCAAGGCTAAGGCCCAGGTGCGTTTTTCTCTTATTATAACTCGGTAATTGTCTGACCTCTCCCTGCTAGCCCGTGGATGAAGACCCGGACGACGGCGACGATGGCGACGACGACGACGATGAAAAGGAACCCTGCGAGCGATGCAGGACAAAGAAGATCTCTTGCCAGATGCAGGCTGGCAAGAGAAGTTCCATCATCTGTAAACCCTGCCATGATGCGAAAGTACGGTGTTCGTACTCCGGACGGCCGTCCACGGTGAAGCGAGAAGGTGGCTCGAATCCGACCGGTGAGCGCCTGGCAGTACTGGAAAGCCAGGTAGCGCAGTTGTTGGCGGATAACCGACAACTCCGGGATGGTCAGGTGAAGGCCAACACCTACCATCGACACATGAATCGGAAGCTGGATTGGCTAGTAACGGATGCCGCGAGGAGGAGGAGAACACCTCCGGAAATGCCGCAGGCTGGGCCGTCGGAATTGCCGAAGAAGCGGAGAAGGGTAATGGACAGCGATGAAGAAGAAGATCGCGAGAGAGAGAAGGAGGTGGAAGAACAGGGAATGGAGGAAGATGGGGAAGGAGATGAGGAAGAGATGGTAGAGGAGGAACCGGCGCCGGCGAAGGCGCAGTCGGAGAAGGGGAAGGAAAGGGCGGAGTAGAGTACCTACGGACATCGGACATCGGCCCTTCGGCCCTCTTCTTGTAATCTTCTTGTAATCCTGCCCCCCTCGTATAGTTTTTGTTTCTTTTTGGTTTTTTGGACTTTGTATATATATAAAATGTCAACTCGATTTTTGAAATCGGAAAGCGAATGGGCCGCGAAGCGGCGTAAGAAGTAATTAGTTCGAAGTGTAAGTAGTTGTAAGTGTAAATGAAATATAAGTGCAATGGTAGATTGAAGGAGAATGTAAGCAATTACGAGAAAGAGATAAACACTCAATTTGCTATCATCGTGTTTATCCTCTAAACGCACAAAGTAAACTTCGGCGGAGCGCGGCGAAAAAGGGAAATGGAATAAAATGATTTTTTGTGATCAAGGTCCAGGTTTGTGAGGGTATCGGGCGTGGAACGCCGGTACAAGTTCGTCAGCATGTAATTCATCAGCAGCAACCCAAGAGAACTCATCGTCGGTACCTTCATAACCGGCCCACCGAATGTAATAACGTAGAGGACAACGTTTATACCTTCTGTCCAGCTTGGAGTCGAGGATTTCGGCAACGTTGTACTCCTCTTCCCCATCAACTTCAATTGGAGGTGGAGGAGATTGAGTACGATTCGGGAAAGGATTCGGCGTAACCGGCTCCAGCTGTGAGACGTGGAAAACCGGATGAATGCGGCGAAGATAGTCTGGGAGCTTGAGCTCGTAAGACAAAGTACCAGGTCGACTGATGACCTTGAAAGGACCAAGATATTTTTCTGAGAATTTTTCAGTAGGACGAGTAGAACGAATGTGCTTAGCAAGAACGAAAACTTCGGAGCCGATCGGGAACTCCGGGTGCGAGATTCTTTTCCTGTCAGCTTGTTCCTTGTAACGAGACTGAGCTAAAAGGATTTCCTCTCGAAGGAAGACGTGGAGTTCATCGAGATTGACGACGAAGTCTCTGGCTAGATCAGACTTCATGTCGACCTCGGGTCGAACGGTGATATTTGGGTGGTATCCTTTGTTAGCGAAGAATGGAGTAATACCAGTGGAAGCATTGGGAGCGTTGTTATAGGCGAACTCGGCGATCGGAAGTAGAGGCGACCAGTCATCTTGTTGGTAGGAACAATAGATCCTGATGTACTGTTCGAGAGTCTGATTGACACGCTCAGTTTGCCCATCGGCTTCCGGATGATATCCAGAGGTATAGTGAAGTTCCATGGAGAGCGCTTTACCGAGAGCCCGGAAGAACGCCGAAACAAATTCGGAACCACGATCGGAAGTAACATGATTAGGAACACCATGCTTAGAGAAGACGTGAATAACAAAAAGCTCAGCTAGTTGTTCGGAAGTAATGGTGTCGTGAGTTGGAATAAATATAGCTTGTTTGGAAGATCGATCCACGACGACTAGGATAGCTGTATAACCATTCGACATTGGCAGTTGTTCAATGAAGTCCATGGAGATAGAATCCCATGGTCGGACCGGAACCGGCAGAGGCTTCAACAACCCGTAAGGCCGGTGACGGCGAGGTTTGTTGCGACCACAGATAGTGCAAGATGTAACGTAGTCACGTACGAAGTCTCTGACCTTGGGCCAGGTGTACTGACGACGTACAGCTTCTAGAGTGCGGTTCTGGCCGAAATGGCCTGAGAGTGGATGATCATGGAAATAGCGAAGGACTTGAAGGCGAAGATCGCCGTGATTCGGAACATAAATACGGTCGTCAAGGCGTAGTAGCTTGTCGCTACCTAAGCTCCAACGTTCATTGGAAGGATCTTTTGCAAGTTCCAAACCAACAACGGAGCTCGGATCGGCGGGAAGGGCGAGAATGATAGCTTGGTGTAGGGCTTCGATATCCATGATAATCGAGGCTCGTAAAACGGGGCCTTCCAGGAAGGTAGCTCGAAGAGACGCAGTGAGTTGTTCGTTAGTAAAGATAGGACGGAAGTTATGAGGGTTCACTTGGGCGTAGCCGATATCCCCCTCTTTAGGGTAGACGTCCCAGCGTCTAGTTATCGAATCAGGTTTCTCGCCGAGTTTCCCCGGTCGGAAGCGAATGACCATATTAAATTGATGTAAAAATTCAGACCATCGGACCTGTCGGCGTGTAAGAACCTTGGTAGTAGAGAAATACTCAAGATTCTTGTGATCGGTGACGACGTCCACCGGATCACCCGAACCTTCCAGATAATGACGCCAAGCTTTAAAGGCCTCGAAGATGGCCAGTAGCTCTTTGTCGTGGGTATCGTAGTTGAGTTCCGCCGCATGAAGCGTTCTGGAAAGGAAGGCTAGAGGATGAATTTCACCGTCAGCATATTGGATGGAAAGAATAGCCGCAATGGCGTAATCGGAAGCGTCGGTTTCCACAATAAGTGGGTGATTCGGCTCCCAATGGGCCAGTATTGGCGCAGAAGTGAAAGCAGTTTTGAGATTTTCGAAGGCCTCTTGACAGCTGCTGTCCCAGATCCAGGAAGCGCCTTTTCGGGTAAGCCGAGTCATCGGCACAACGATATCACTATAATTATAAATAAAACGACGATAGAAG